AGTTCGAGTCCCGGACCCAGTGGCTTAAACTCACGCCAGGCGCGTGTGCGTGCGTGCCCAAGACCCCGAGAGGAGAATGGAGGAGAAGGGATTGCAGTGTGGCCATGCCACCTGGGGGGTGATTTCTCGCTTTCCGTCTCTCTGTCTCTCTGGTGAGCGCACGCGCCCTATAGCAAAAACCTCTCCAAAAAAAAAAAAAAGTTTGTGGAGAGACGGAATAAAAGCATGGCCCTGATAAAGTGTTCAGCAGTGGGATCCAGCTGTCTTAACCAGCGTGCAGCTGTAATTTAAAAATGTCCTCGGTAAACTCTAATAAAAAGTGTTTACAACTCTAGTCACATCCACTTTTGTCCCGACAGTTTAGGGGTCTACGGAAGCTCACCTGTGTCGGACAGACCCTGGTCACCCCGCCATGCCTGCTCAGGTCAGGCGTGCTCATTGCTCACCTCCCTCGTGGCAGGTTTTCCAGCTCCTTCTTCCCCCAGGCCCACCCTCAGCCCATGGCACAGCGCTCAGCACATGGGCACCCCCACAGTTGCTGTCCTGGAGTCCGGCCTAGCCCTGCCCCCTCACATACAGAGCAGGTTTGCTAAAAGCCTGACCGAGAACGAATGAACCCCAGCCTCCTTCACAGTGGTGGTGAGGGGCCGGGATCTATGCGGGGCCCAGGTCTCCACTGGCCTCTGCTGTTTGTGCCACGGCTCGCCAGGTGCTGCCTGCCTGCCTGGCCCTTGGCACCCAGGAGCTCTCTCCCATTCTGAGGGCTCCAGCTGGATGCCGAGGACCCTCCCCACTCCCTCTCCACCAGGCCCAGCTTGGAGCTCAGGGGCTGGGGCGCCTGTCTGGCCCTAAGGCCCGATGACCCCGTCAGCACCTGTGTGTATCTTACTCATTGTTCCCAGAGAGGGGCCAGGAAACTGAATGACACCACCCACACTCCGAAGAGCTGCTTTCCAGAAGCCCAGGGAACCTCAGGTCAGACAGGAAGACGAAGATGAAGGACAGGGAGAGAGACCGTGGGAGAGAAACAGAGAATGTGCACACGCAAGAGAGAAACCAAACCCTGTCTCTCTGTCTGGGCCCGAGTAGAGAAGGGGCGGGGGGG